ATTAATTACAAATATGATTTTTTTCCCCCCCTGCCCTCAGGTAAAACACTCTCCAAGAGAGAGGCTTGAGCTGAAACAGAAACTGAAGGGGGTGAAATGATTCTGCAACGACAGCGCTAATGGGGATGTACATCTGAAAAGGGATTGATAAGTACTGTTGGGGGGACTGGAGGCTGAAGAAAATTCTCATATCTCCGGCTAGTGTTAAGCTTCTAATATCTTTAATCCCCCCAAATGTATTTTTTTTTTAGCTTTCCCAACTATTTTTTTTCATCAATCATGAGGAAACTCTTAAAACAGTCAAAGTTATCAGAACACGGAAAAAACTGAACTCTTATATGTTTAGACTTAGAGACTTAGACTTAAACAGACTTAGACTGATTTTTTGTTTGGGGTGACAGTGGCATTGGATGTAGGAGTTTGCTCTGAAATCGAAGGATTGACGGTTCAAGCCCTGGCTCTGACTTTCATTGTTGTTGTGTCCTTGGGCAAGACACTTCACCTGCATTGTCTACTGATGGTGGTCAGAGGGCCCGGTGGAGCCAGTGTACAGCAGCCCCGCTTCTGTCAGTGAGCCCCAGGGCAGCTGTGGCTACAATGTAGCTTGCCACCATGGGTGAATGAATGTAGTGTAAAGCGCTTTGGTCAAGTTTCCTGACTTGAAAAAAGTCGCTATATAAGTACATGCCATTTACCTTTTTTTTTTTATCATTTGGTAGACACAAGTAAACAAAAAGAAACATTGTTAAGAACAGCTCTCTAGACCATTTCATTTTTTAAAGTGAAGCCTTGATAAGGTAAGCAGCAGTGATAAAAAACATTGTGATGAAAAACAGTAATGTAAACATATGACTGTATAGTTACAGTTCTAACATTAATTTGTTTTTCTTCTGTAGTAGGTGGTGAGGATGGGTGGGGGCAGGTGGGCTCTCCTCATCCTCCGCAAGAAGTACATGCGCTTTTGTGCCCTTTTGATCAATGAGGTGGTGTTTACATTCCAGGTGAGGGTGTCTATAATGTGCACCACCAGGAATTTGGTGCTATTGACCGCCTCTACAGCTGAGCTGTTGATAACCAGTGGAGCGTGGTTAGACTGGTTCTTCCTGAAGTCCAAGATGATCTCCTTCGTCTTCTCC